CAGCTTAGAGGGAATACTGGTTCCCACCCGTGGAGGGGGAGATTTGGAGGGGGGAGAGAGACCCCCCCACACCCACACACTCGCCTTCTGCCCCTCCGGCTCCGTCTCTTCCCCACCCGACGCCAGCAGGCTCTGGTTTTTTTGCTCTACGGGTCCCCCAGCAATGCAGCCTTTGCGCTTTGGGAAGGCGGTGGGGGTGGGTTGGTTTTTTTTTTGCCAAGTCGCGTTTGGGGAATTCTTGGAGATTTTTTTTTTTGGGGGGGGAGCGGCAGTCAGTTTATATTTTTTTAGCCAGTCAGTTTATAACATTTTTAAAAATATACTTAGATCTAAGAGCCACCTAGAACAGAAGATGAGAGGGGTCATAAACAAATCTAGAATACCTAGAACAGAAGATGAGAGGGGTCATAAACAAATCCTTCACACGCTTTTTGAGCAGTGCCGTCTACAGCATAAAAGCATTCCTAAAAATGAAGATATCAATCTAAAACGAAGGCCTTCATTACAAATTAGGGCTGCCAAGTCCCCCCGGGGGGCGGATAATCCCCCGCTTTGGAGGCCCAATTTCTGCCGCCGCGAAATCGAGCCCCGGGGGAAACCCCACCCCGGCGTGCACAGCTGGATGGGGGGGGGGCTACCAATATCTGAAGGCGTTTCAAGCCCCTTCCCTGGGAGTAAAGGCTGGAGAGCCTGGGACCTTTCAGTTGAGAAAAAGAGAGGGGGGGGCGATGACATGATACAGGTTTATCGAATTATGCACGGGGTGGGGAGAGTTGGCAAAGATCCATTTGACTCCCTCTCCCAAAAGAGATAGAACTCCAGGGCATCCAGTGAAGCTGAGGGTCAGTAGGTTCCCAATGGACAAAAGAAAACGCTGCTTTACGAGTGACTAAAATGCATGATTCACTGCCAGAGGATGTAGTGTTGGCCACAGCATTGAACAGCTTGAAAAGGGGATTAGATAGATTCATGGAGGATCAGTCTATCTCTGGCTACTACTGTCCCTGGTGACAGAGGGGAACCTCCACATTCAGGTTCCCAGAGCCAGGAGACAAAATCAAGGGAAGGCCTCTTTCCCCTACTGTTGACTCTCCAGAGGAGCTGGTTGGCCACTGTGTGGGGCAGGATGCTGGACTAGATGGACCCTCACTGGTCTGATCCGGCGGGGCTCCTCTGATGTTTTTTCTAGGGGAATGGCTCGGCCTCTGAGCGCTGTTCTCGGCCATCCAGAGAAACTGGTTGGCCACTCTGTGGTATGAGATGGTGGACTGGATGGACCATTGGTCTGATCCTGCAGAGCTCTTTTTCTGTCCTTAACCCCAGGATCTCGATTTGTGCTCTGACGCAAACCTGGAGAGAGAGAGTCATTCTGGGGACTGGAACAGAGATTCTGTGTGCGGCAAAAAAGGGTTTCCCAACTTTTGTCTTTTTCACACACACACCCAAGGCAGCAGCGGAAAGAATACCCCGATGCCTTCTTCGCTGTCTCCATGTGGTGGGGAGATAAGATCCACCATGAAGCCTCCTCAGGTAAGGGCGGGGCGATCACTGGGGAGACGGGGATGGTTTCTTTTCTGTCTGAAGGCTCACCGGATCGGGCACTTTGCCCTTGGTTCTGCTCAAAGGCTGTCTTGGATCACGTGTGCAGAGTGGCCCCAACAGGGACAATAAAGCAATTCTGGTTACCAGCCTCCAGGTGAGGCCTAGAAATCAAAACTGGTCTCCAGAATACAGAGATGGGGGCAGATGTTTTGGCATTACAGCCCTGCTGAGCTCCCCCCCCCCCCAATTCTATCCTCAACAAGCAACACTTCTCTTGAGGAATTTCATCAACTCATAGAAACTGAAATTTTCTAACATCAACAGGTCAAACTTAACATTTGCATTCTTCTCTTTCCAAACAGTCTGGTTATCCTTCATGATCAGCATCATTGCGGGGGGAAACCCAAAAAACATACCAATATATAAATCAGAAACAGACACCATTCTAGCTTCCTATTTTAACCTTTCTAACAACTTGGATTTATTTATTTTTATAGCCCTCCAAAGGGGAGTTTTTTTATTTTTTTTGCTTTTTCTACACACTGCAATTATAGGATGGGGGAAGGGATACTAATACCCTAAGGCTATTATTATGGGTGATGGGTAAAGGAAATCTAATACATATATCTACTTGATAAGGGAAGGAAGGCTACCATTCTAATCTATATCATCTACTGCATTTGGGGAAAGGGTGAAGACTAATACATGCCACGATCTGAGTAGTTGAAAAAATAATGTTTTTTAACCTAATATTACACGTTATATCCAGGTTTGATTCAATTATAATCGTACATATTTAATAGCTTAACACAATTACTGCTTTTAGTGCTATTGCCTTAGTTCTAGAGTCTTTTCTTCTTGCGTTTCTTCGTTTTCTGGCGTTTGGGGGCGACCTCTCCTTTCTCCGATCCAGATGATTCTGATGACGTGGAAGTTTGGCTTGTTGAATCCTGTGAGTAGGATTCTTCTTCTTCCTCCCCATCTGGTTTTAAATTATTTTCCTTCTGCTTCTTTTTTGTATTAAACATTTGATCCATAAATTTTTCCACTTTTGGAACAGAGTCAATTTTATATTTTTTGTCCTGGTAATTGAAACTCAGCCCTTCTGGGAATAGCCATCTATATGCAACTTGGATTTATCATTATACTGAAACTATCAATATCAAGTCTCTCTTAACATATACTAAATATATCATCACAAAATTCCTGTTCAAATAACGTCATGTTTTCTATTTTTTTTGTTCTTACTTTGAAGTCCTGTGGATTATTATATATTGTACCATCAAACACAAACCAAATCCCTTATACTTAAAAAAAAGAAAAAGGAAAAGGAGATTAATTTTTTCCCTATTCCTATTTCAAATTAAGATCTTCATTACAAGTGCTTATAGATTAAAAAAAAAAGTCTGTTTTTTGCCCTCAAAATTTGTTTAATGGATCCTTAATCCCAGTCTCTTCCCGGCCACTTTCCCCCCTCTTCCTTAATTTTGGGAGAAATTTAAAGGGGCTTTCTACGGAGGTCTTTTCAAATTAATAGTTGCGTTCACACTTACCCACGGTACAGTTCTTGTCCTCCTCGCTGTTATGTTGAAATTCAGTTCTCTTTAAAACGGTTGTTCACAGTTTAGCAAATATGCTGGAACTGGATGCCAGTCTCGACTCTACTGATTCTGGAGGCTTCAGCAGAATCTTTTAAAGAGAAAAGAGATGCTTCCTCGGGTCCTTTGAGCCCAGCCCCTCTCCCGTCAGGTCTGGTCATTAACGCCAAGTTATTCAGATTGATTGATGTGATCAGTCCACTGATATTTTTTTGGGGGGGGGGGAACTACTTGGGAAGATTGCTGTCTCCTGGGAGACCAGCCTGGCTTTCATTAGGACTAAGCCCTAGGGAAAAGGCAGACTAAGACGTGAATGTGGTTCCCCTCTTCTTTCCCTCACCCGGCCAGCTCGAAGTTTCACACGCCTTTTTGCTCCCTTATCAGCCTTTCACACACACACACACACACACACACACACACACACACACACACTGAATAATGCACTCCCAGTCTGCTTTCAAAGCACTTCAACAACCGTCTCCAAGCAGATTCTGCCATTTCGCCCACTAGATTCCAGTTGCAAAGCGAACCGGAAGTGGGTGGAGAGTGTATTACTCAGCCTGGGCGAAAACAGTTTCAGTCACACCCTCAAGGGCGGGCTCCCCCTCTCCCACCCGTGGCCGCTGTCTTCCCTCTCTTTAGGACATGACAGGAACGAGTCCTCCAGCTCTGCCACTCCCTCGGCCGCTCCCTCCGCTGATCTGCCCATCTCCCTGTTTGGAAGCAGCTCCGCAGACTGCCTCATGCTCTCCCCGGGAGGGCATCGATCCCTCTTGCCCCCACCCAGTAGGCAGTTCAAGCAGGAAGGGTGTAAAAAAACTTTGTGTCTCCTTCAGCACCCTGGAGGGCAAGCCCTGGCTCTCCTCTCGGCCGAATATCAGTGTGCTTCTGTGTGCTCCAATCCTCCTCTCTCCGGAAGCGCCTTCCTCCTAGAGGCCGAGCAGAGAGGACGGAGGAGGAGGAAGCCAGAGCAGGTGGCCGTGGGGTAGCCCCCTGTGAGTGCCGGCCGCCTCTCTGTCCCCAGAGAATACCCCAAGGAGAGCTGGGAAGGGAAAACCTCGGGGCCCCAATCCCCTCCTGGTTCCTGCTATTCATGAATTGTTGTTGTTTTTTTAAATCTACCCTCAAAGTGTAGAGTTTGTTTTTTCGTAACAGATAAACCGAACATACACACATATAACACAAACGGGGGTATCAATTGCTTATGTTTCCAATAATTGCCTTTTAGATATTCTCTATCTAATATAATATCACATATTATTTTCTATGAGCTCGCATTTTTGTATCTTAAAACCAACATCTGTACCTGCTATCTCAATGATCTAACCTCTACTTTGTTCTAGGGATTACATTTTTAGTTTACAATCGTTTGCACTACTATGCCAATTATAAAAGCACCTCCATGTGTTCTGAAATGTGTAGTTTGTGGATCCTCTTATCAACAGAGTCAATTTATCACTTTCCGCTGTTTCCATCAGTTTTTGTATATATTCTTGCTTTTTTGGTACATCTTGTGCCTTCCAGTATTTGGCATATAACATTCTTGCCGCTGTAGTAAAGTAGATAATTAAATATCTGTTGCTTTTTTCAAAGTCTTTACGTAGTATACTCAGAAGCATTACTTTGGGTGTAAATGGAATTGTACATTCCACTATCTTCTGCATTATTGCATGAATCCATCTTCAGTATCTCTTAGTTACATCAGTGGCTATTAGCCACAAGGTATAGATAGGGGCTCTGTGGCAAGGGATGCTCTGTCTTCTTGGTGCTTGGGGGGGGGGGTCAACAGTGGGAGGGCTTCTAATGTCCTGGCCCCACTGGTGGACCTCCTGATGGCAACTGGTATTTCTGGCCACTGTGTGACACAGAGTGTTGGACTGGATGGGCCTTTGGCCTGATCCAACATTGGCGCCTCTTATGTTCTTCTTATGTACATCACAATGCCACCACATATGATAAAAGGATCTTCAGGAATCGTTTTAATACCCATGTTTGGCTTTATTTCTCAAGAACCAATTTCCCAGGGATGGGAAGAGTAACTTTCTTCTTCCTCCTCTTCCAGGATCCGGTGTCCTTTGAGGAGGTGGCCGTGAGTTTCACCCTGGGGGAGTGGGCCCTGCTGCGCCCGGCCCAGAGAGCGCTCTACAAGGAGGTCATGCTGGAGAACTTTGGAAACGTGGCCTCTCTGGGTGAGGAGGAGCCTTCTCTCCTTCACACTGTTGAGTGTGGCTAAGAGTCTTCTCTGTTCGTAGTTGCTGTTGAGGAAGGATGTGGTCAGTCCCTTTGGCTGAGTAATGCCGTCCAGTCTGCACATCTGGCAAGGGTCCGGGGTTCTCCGTGCACACGAGTGAGGCTCCCTTCTAGCAGTCCTTGGGCCCCGTGAGAGGGCGTCAGAAGGGGTGCCAAGAGATGCTGGGTTGGGCTTTCCTCCAGGCCGGTCTTACCTCACCTGTTCTGCGGTGTGACCGTGGAGGACACACGGCTGGCTTCTCTGCCGGTTTCGTAAGTTCTCAGCTCTCAAGCAGGACGCCATAGAAAGCCTAGACTGATCGTTCTGAGGGACTTCCAACATCCCCGTTGAGGGTTCTTTACCAGGGCTGGCCCTGGATTTTGTAGCCTCTTCCATTGCCATGGGCCTCCCTTCAGTTGGTAAGGGCTGAACACATCGAAAAGGTCACACGTTGAGCTTAATCCTTTCAGGGAAGATTAGTCTCTGAGGCTGGAGGGTTGGGCTATACCTCGATCTGACCACTATCTGCTCAAGGCAGGGAGGATACGGCTCCAATACTTACAGGGAAGGTGATGGTGTAAAATGGTCTGTCCGTGGAGTCTCCTGGCTCCTACTGCATTCCCCAATGCTCTGGAGGGTTTTAGGTTTCCAGATGGATGCTCTGGTGGGATCATGGAGCACGAAGCTCCTAGAAATTCCTGAAAAGGTTACCCCTTTTGGATTTCTCTTACCTTGGAGTCAGAACCTGGCCCTGCCGGTTTACCAAGGAACAGGGAGACCTGAGAAGGGCCAAGAGATGTGGCCCAAGTGACCTTTAGACAGCTAGCAGAATAATTAAGAAGTGGAATTCACTGCCACGAGAAGTGGTGGTGTTTACATGCATACAAACCTTCAAGAGGGTATGGAATAAACACATGGAGGCGAGGTCCATCCATGGCTATTAACCACAAGGTACAGATGGAACACTCTGTCTGGGGAAGTGATGCTCCGTATTCTTGGCGCTTGAGGGACAACAGTGGGTGGGCTTCTGGAGTTCTGGCCCCACTGGTGGACCTCCTGAGGGCACCTGGGTTTTGGCCACTGGGTGCCACGGAGTAGCAGTTGGGTGACTTGGAGAGGGCCAGCAGACACCTATCCCAGCAATTTAAGATGTTTTAGCGTCTGCTGACTCCTGAATCTGACCCCGTCTTATTTCTCAGGAAGAAGAAATCAGTTGTGATGATTGTTCAAAATTTTTTGCTGATGGGCTCCTAATAACAGAAGAGAGGCCATCTGCTGGCAGAACACAGGCCCAGGGGATGAGCTTTGAACTGATTGCTAGACTTCTCCTCCGTGAAACAACCTAATCCCCTTTGAAAGCTGTTTATTCCTGCGGCCCTCACTACATCCCCTGGCAGCAAACTCCACCTTTTAATCACTCTCTGTGCAAAGTAGAACTGCTTCTTACGAGAGGAAGTGCCAGTTTGGTGTAGTGGTTAAGTGTGTAGTATAGGTGGGATTGTAAGGATTTCTTCTTCTGATTATTCATATTTTCTGGTTTTATAGTTTTTCTCCTAAGTAACATTTTCTTAAAATGTAAAAGGTAAAGGTTCCCTTGCTCGAAAGCCAGTCGAATCCGACTCTAGGGTTGTGGTACTCATCTCTGTTTCAAAGCCGAAGAGCCGAAGACGTTTCCGTGGTCATGTGGGCGGCATGACTAAACCCCAAGGCGCATGGAACGCTGTTACCTTCCCACCGAAGTGGTCCCTATTTATCTACTTGCAATTTCTTGCTTTCGAACTGCTAGGTTGGCAGGAGCTGGAACTAGAGACAGGAGCTCACTCCATCATGCAGCACTCAGGTCTCGAACTGCTGAACTACTGACCTTCCACAGCCTGCAGTTCAGCGTCTTAACCACTTAAATAGTAGGACTTCCTCTGGTAGGTTAGATTAATTTTCTAGCTGATGTTAGCAGACAAGACAATAACATTCTTTTGGTATAGAAGACTGGTATAAACTTCATGGGTTTTTTTTTGTTTAGGGTAAAACCTTGCCGTGTCTGGGTCAAAAAGGATTTTAGCTCCGTATCAGGGGAAAACACCTTTGTTTGGGTATAGAGAATCCCTGGCAAATATTATTCAGGTTAGGTTAAGTAAACACTTAGATATTATGTAGGGACACCTTTCTTTAAATTTGACCTATAAGGGGATTCTTATTCAAAGGATGTGTGATTCTTTGCAACCAATTATGCTTTTTGAATGTTACCTTCATGATGATGTCATTCCAACTGTTTTCAGGTCTCTTGATTGCAATTGAAATACTAAGACCTGCCTCCTCATCTTGACTTCATTTTACTGGGAATCTGTTTGTATAACAAGTGTGCGGACTCTAATCTGGGAGGACCGGGTTTGATTCCCCACTCCTCCATTTGCAGCTGATGGATGACCTTGGGCCAGCCATAGTTCTGACAAGAGCTGTTCTTGAAAAAGAGCGGTTTCTGTCAAGAGCTCTCTCAGCCCCACCTACCTCACAGGGTGTCTGTTGTGGGGAGGAGAAGGGAAAGAAGTTTGAAAGCCGCTCTGAGACTCTGAGTGAAGGGCAGGGTAGATAGAAATCCATTCTCTTCTCTCTCCTCACTAAGGCCAGGGGGGACCAGCAGCCAGAGACGTTTTGTATTATATTTCTGTCATCATTTCTGTTAGATTTTGATACCTCTGACTTCCTTTGGGATTGGATTTACCACTGAAAAGCAGGGTTAAAATCAAAAGAACTAAGCATCCACTGATTCTTTTGAGGAAGGACTGAAAGCTCCCTGGGGGACCATTTCCTCTCCTGATCATTGGCCCCTCTGCCCATCCAGTACTCCACCCCACAACTCTTCCTTGCCTGTTATGCCTGCAGAGAGAGATTCAAGCTGGCTTGGAAGGGCCAAAATGCTGCACACGGAGTAAAATTCTAATGTTCTGCTCTTTTTTCATGATAAAAAGGACCCGTGAGCGCCAAGCCTGACCTGATCTCCTGGCTGGAAGGAGAAGATGAGCATCTCTTCCTGTTCTCAGCTGAAGAGGAGGGACTGAAAGGTCTGTGTTGGGACGGTGTGTTGCTTCTTCCTTCCTAGGGCGGGTGGGTTTCTTCTGTGATCTTCCTTATCCTAAGAGCTGGTTCTCCTCCAGAGAGCTGGGGTGAGTGGCGAATGCTGAAAAGGTGCCTGTGGAGGTTGGAGAGTAAATAACTAAGCGATCTGTAGCCTGCAGCACTGCTTGAGGAGAGCCTAACGGGCTCGTGGCTTCATTTTTCAGAAGCTCCTCAGAACTACAGATCCATCAGTACACTAAAAAATATCGCAGGACCAGATTAACAAGAAAGGGTTTTGAAAGTTTTTCTAGACACCAAGCCGTTGAATTGTGGCACTCTCAACCACAGTTAATTAAATTTGTTCGCTAATGTTCCTGATCCATTGTTCACAGTCTTCATGACGAGTCTCTCTTTCTTTCAGACAGCGGTATGGGGAGAATTCACAGAGGCGCAAAAAAATGCCTAGACAGTGCAAAAAGCTTCAGCTGGAGTGACAATCCTATTTCCCACCAGAGAGCTCATACAGGGGAGAAACCATATCAATGCCTTGAATCTAGCAGCAGCTTCAGTCGCAGAAAAAAACTTATTTACCATCAGAGAATTCACAAAGGGCTGAATGCTAATAGATGCCTGGAGTGTGGAAAAGGCTTTCGGTGCAAGGCTAAGTTAACTTCACATCAGAGAATTCATACAGGGAAGAAACCATATAAATGCCTGGAGTGTGGAAAGTGCTTTACTAGGAAAGGAAGCTTTACTCACCATAAAAGAACTCATACAGGGGTGAAACCCTATAAACATCTGGAGTGTGGAAAAAGCTTTCGGAGGAATAATATATTAACTTTCCATCAAAGAACTCACACAGGTGAGAAACCATATAAATGTTTGAAGTGTGGAAAAAGCTTTTCAAGGAAGAATAGTTTAACTTCTCATCAAAGAATTCACACAGGGGAGAACCCATATAAATGCCAGGAATGTGGAAAAGTCTTCAGTCACAAGAGAAATCTTACTTACCATGAAAGCATTCATACAGGAGAAAAACCATATAAATGTTTGAAGTGTGGAAAAAGCTTTTCAAGGAAGAATAGTTTAACTTCCCACCAAAGAATTCACACAGGGGAGAAACCATATAAATGCCTAGAATGTGGGGAAAGCTTTTCATGGAAGAAGATTCTAACATTCCATCAACGAATTCACACAGGGGAGAAACCATATAAATGCCCGGAATGTGGGAAAAGCTTTTCACGGAGGTTTACTCTAACTTCCCATCAACGAATTCACACAGGGGAGAACCCATATAAATGCCTGGAATGTGGGAAAAGCTTTTCACGGAGGTTTACTCTAACTTCCCATCAACGAATACACACAGGGGAGAAACCATATAAATGCCTGGAATGTGGCAAAAGTTTTTCATGGAAGGATACTCTAACTTCCCATCAACGAATTCACACAGGGGAGAACCCACATAACTGCCTGGAGTGTGGAAAGTTCTTTAGTTGCAAAAGAAGCCTTGTTGACCATGAAAGAATACATACAGGGGAGAAACCATATAAATGTCTGGAATGTGGGGAAAGCTTTCCACGGAAGGATACTTTAACATCCCATCAAAGAATTCACAAAGTGGAGAATCCATATAAATGCCTGGAATGTGGGAAAAGCTTTTCACGGAAGGATACGTTAACTTCCCACAAAAGAATTCACACAGGGGAGAAACCATATAAATGCCTGGAATGTGGGAAAAGCTTTGCACGGAAGGATAATCTAACTTCCCATCAACTAATTCACACAGGTAAGAACCCATATAAATGCCCGGAGTGTGGAAAGGGCTTTAGTAGCAAAGGAAGCCTTACTTCCCATGAAAGAATTCACACAGGGGAGAAACCATATAAATGCCTGGAATGTGGGAAAAGCTTTCCACGGAAGGATACCCTAACTTCCCATCAACGAATTCACAAAGGGGAGAACCCATATAAATGCCTGGAGTGTGGAAACTGCTTTAGTCGCAAAGGAACCCTTCTTGACCATGAAAGAATACATACAGGGGAGAAACCATATAAATGTCTAGAATGTGGGAAAAGCTTTGCACGGAAAAATACTCTAACTTTCCATCAACGGATTCACACAGGGGAGAAACCATATAAATGCCTGGAATGTGGGAAAAGCTTTCCACGGAAGGATACCCTAACTTCCCATCAACGAATTCACAAAGGGGAGAACCCATATAAATGCCTGGAGTGCGGAAAGTGCTTTAGTAGCAGAGGAGGCCTTACTTACCATGAAAGAATTCATACAGGGGAGAAACCATATAAATGTCTAGAATGTGGGAAAAGCTTTGCACGGAAAAATACTCTAACTTTCCATCAACGGATTCACACAGGGGAGAAACCATATAAATGCCTGGAATGTGGGAAAAGCTTTTCACGGAAGGATACTCTAACTTCCCATCAAAGAATTCACGATTTTGTTTCAGTACAAAAGAAGGATTCCAATCTAGTTATCTGAAGAAGTGAGCTGTGACTCACGAAAGCTCATCCCCTGGTACAAATTTCGTGAGTTTTTCAGGTGCTACCATGCCCTTGCTCTTTTCTACTGGTACAGACAGATAAACACGACTACCCATTGCATTCTATTTCATATCTTCTGTGAAAAGCTAGAATTGTGGGAGTCTTCCTCTCTGTGTTGGGCAGGACATTTCCCCAAGTGGGAGCCACATGAGCCAATCATTCTGTACGTGTTGCTCTCAGCCTCACCCATGCACAGTCTCGTCTTTGCACAGATGAGCAATGCAGTTGTAATCGATCGTATTGAGAAAAGGAGTCCTGTAGCTCTGTATACCTGAAGCCCTGAAATACTTTGCCAATACCGGCCAGCCCCTTGATATAAACTGAAAATCTAAACAATGTCTAAAGGAGCAACTCAGATTTCTCCCAGATTCATTCCGTGCCTCTCCTCGAATTGTAATCAATCTCCGACATTCTGTACCAGCTGGAGATGCTGACTTCAAGGGTGGGCCCACGCAGAGGACATTATGGTAGACTGGCTGCCTGGTTTCTGTGTTTTTGATTTTCATTGTGTGTATTGATTCTATTCTGAGCATTCGTGTCTCTAATATTTCCTGTATTAGGAGGAGAATCAATCGTCGTGCTTCAGTAAACGAGGGTGCAGGAAAAATATTGGGTTGTTCATTTAGTTAACAAGTAACATCTTACCCAGGGTCCTGGAGAAATAATTTTTAATTTTGGGGTTAATAATGGTGATAGTATTTTCTTATGGGCTTCATGAGTTATTTATAAGGCCTCTCTTGGCTTTCTGTAATTGGGAAAATCTTCCTTTAGCTGAACGGGCCAACCACACGGTTAAGGGCTGCCTCCTCTGTGGAGAGGTCCGGCTGCTCTCATGGACTCGGCCCCAAAGAAAGTGAACTTCCTACTGGCTGCTCTGACTGTTGTCATACCTGTTTCTCAACCCACTGACCAGATCAGGTGGGTCAGAAAAAGGCACTTTTCCTGCAGCCTCCAGAAGTTACTGTTTCCTTTTTGAAAGGGGGGCGGGGCGAGAAGAGACTTTACCCACGCATTATCTCTCCTGCTAGAACTATTAGTATTTGTAAGAACGTAAGCTGAGGTATTGTCTTGCTGTATCGATTCCCTGCCCCCCCTTTCCTGGGTGTTCTCTGCATAGAGGGGGGAGAACGTTAAAACACCAAAAGAAGGTTTTGCTGTCCTCATTCCTTCACCGAAAAAAATGCATTTCTTCAGACAGGGTTCTGAAGAAGTCATTTTGAATGTTCAGAGAAATCAATTGATTAGGGGGTTAGGGTTGCCGGAACAGATATTGGTTACCGGAACAAAAAATGGCTGCAATGAATGCGTGATTATTCTCGTGTAATCTGTGACGATGGGCATGATATGTGATTTGACAGTGAATTTGGAATGAGCCAACAGATAAATCCTGAGGATCCGTGCATTGGAACAAAATTTTTTTGCAATGGCAATTCTACAAAGCGGTGACTGATTTTTGTGCTACAATCTGTGGCCATCAACACAATATATGACTTCATGGTGAACTTGTGTGACCCAACAGCAAAATCCTGAGGGTCTTTGAGGTTCCTCACTTTGGAACCACATTTTTGTCCCATGGTGGTGCCACAAAGAGATGAATGTGAGATTTTTGTGGTGTTGCCTATAGACTAAGACGTGATCTTCAATATAACAGTGGCTTTATTTTATTTCAATATAAAGAGTCCACTGAGGTGGGGCAAAAGAGCTGGAGTATTCCATATGGGTTTTTTTTTTTTTTTTTCAATTTTCCCAGAGTGATTGGAGGGCCTGAAGCAGCCAGTAGCTTACCTCAGAATGACTCCAGCTTTTCTGTAAAACTACACATTGATATTGTCGGGCAGGGGTGTCGAACTCATTTATTATGAGGACCGGATCTGACTTAGATGAGAGCTTGTTGGGCCGAGCCATGTGTGTCATAAAATGGAATGCCAGGTAGCATAGATATAAACGTTAAATAAAACATGTCTCCTGTTTATGATTGAGGCAGCCAGGCCAGGAAGCGAACTCTGGCTGGGTTCCCTCCATCCCCCTGGGAGAAGGAGGGGGAGGAGCCTCAGCCAATGCTTTACCAGACTCAATCGCACGGGAGAAGCTTGCCTATCTATCTCTCCTGTGTGGTTGAGAGAGTCTGGTAAAGTAAGCTGTGATGTAGCCACAGCAGCAGAACTGGAAAAGGAAGCAGGAAACAACCAGGGTCTCGCAGGCAGGATTGTAGCCCTACGATTGGCTGGTCCGGCCCCCAGACCACATGTTTGACACCCCTGTTCCAGAAACTCCTGAGGGGTGGAAAAACCACATGCCAACACAGAGCAGAGCTGCCACTTGATCCATCTTTAAGGGACTGGCTAGACAGAAGTCAGAAAAGACTGAGACCCTTTTCGGCTCGGATACAAGCCTTAACTTACATGTGCTATGGTTGCCAGCCTCCAGGTGGCACCTGGAGATCTGTTCTTGCAGTTGATCTTCAGACGGCCAAAATCAGTTCTCCTGGGGAAAATGGCTGCTTTGGAAGGTGGAGCCTGTGGCATTATACCTTCAAGGTGTCCCTCTCCTGCTCAAACCCTGCCCTATCCAGGCTCCACTTGAAAAATCTACAGATGTTTCCCAGCCCAGAGCTGGAAACCCCATAAACATTTAAATTCTTGGTAGATATACTTAATTGTTGTTGCATACACTGTGTCTTATGAGGAAATGTAATCTGCCTATGAGCTGTCATTCTATCCCTAAGTGAAACAGAAGTTACATTGGCATCACTAAAATTCTGGAAAGTGTTGGATCCGTGTTTTTTTCTGGCTGAGTCCCTGCTCCTAGCTTTGACACTGAATTTGGGGGAACCCCCTTAAAGAACTGGAGCAAGGGTGGCCAAACCGTGGCTTGGGAGCCACATGTGGCTCTTTCACACATATTGTGGCAGCTGGGAAAGCAAAGGGGAGGCATCACTTTTTCTCCCTCCTTCCCTCCCTCCCATCTATTTGCTTTCTTTGTTTCTATCTTTCCACCTCTTTCTTTCCACCTCTCTTTTTCTCTGTCTCTTAGACAAATAAATATCATTGGACAAATAAATATCATCAATATCTGTTTCTACCCCTTTTGTTTTTATTTTTGAGAATCTCATCTAATGCTAATTAAAAAGCAGATTTGCATATATTTTTTAAATAAAACCATGTGTGTAATATTTGTTTATGTCTTGCGGCTCTCAGACATCTGACCGGTTTCCGGTACGGCATGGTGACAGGCGGTTTTGGGTCGCTCCAAGCCGTCTGATCCCTTTTCACTCCTTTGGGAGCCTCCCGGTCACCGGGGGGACTCTGCCGGACCTCCCAGAGAGAGGTTTCGTTGCAGGGGGCGCGGTATCGGCCCCTTCCACAACTGGCGAATGCGGGGGGATGTCTGCTATTGCCCCAATGCGGGAGAGATCAGCAGAGTAGGACATGGCCGCCATGTTCTACCTAGCCACAGCCATCCGCTTTTAATCACGTTGGAAATAAACTTAGTACACAGTAACGCGGAAAAGAAAAAGAAGGGAAGTCTAAGGGCACTGAAAGAGGAGGAGGAAGAGATTAACGAAGATACAGAAATTGGAGAGTTATCCATAGAGCAATTTCAGAGACTACTTATGGAAGGGATACAAAAGGGGATTAAGGAAGCTTTTGAGAACTATACAAAAAACAAGCAGAAAGTGTACTCAAATCTGGAAAAAGATGAAGAGTTGGAGCAAAGCAGGCAGGATGTTACAGAGGAGCAGGACTGTGACTGAGAGAATGCGGTTTTTGATACACAACCTTCATTGACAATAAATGCGGAAAACTGTAAGGAGCAAAGAAGTAATTATGAGGAGACTATAAAGCCCGTTTACTTAAAGACTGGACTGAGAAAGAGGACCTCTCGAAAACATTTTGGTAAAAAAGCGGGAGAAACAGCAAAAAAGTGAACAAGCCAAGAGAAACTGATGAGAACTGGTGATGTTAAGTTTAAATTGGCAAGAAGAGACTCAAGAACTTTGGATCATAGCATGGAGGAAGCTGGCAAAAAAGAATAGAGATTGCAAGGTGTGGCACATCATTAGTGTAAACAAGAAGGTGAAAATATATAAAGAGAACAGACATCAGGCAATGGTTGTGGGGGGAAAAAGATTAATGATTTCTTGGAAAAAAATTATGATATTTGATTGGGGATAGTAATAATTATTTCTTCTGTATGATTTTGATCTGCATGAGAAATGAGATTAAGGACTGCTCAAATAGTAAGGCATTGATAAATGAATTTCATTTTGGTTGTGGGGGAAAAAGGTTATTGATTTCCTGGGGAAAAAATATGATATTTGATTGGGGATAGTAACAATTTATTTGTTCTGTATGATGTTGGTCTGAATGAGAATTGAGATTAAGGACTACTCAAATAATAAGGCATTGATAAATGAATTTCATTTTTAACCCATATGAGATAGGTGTTTAGTCATATTATGTGGAGGGTTAATATATAATAGATCCGATAACTGAAGAGTATTGTACATCTTTAATTATGGTTAAACTTACGCCTAAAATCATTAGGTAAAAATATGTATGATAACAAGAAAATGTTTTTTGTTTTGTTCAACTGTAAGGTATAAGTTATAAAAGCAATTGGTAAAGGTTGGTTGGAAACAGGACTCATGTGTTAGTGAAAATTGTGGAATATTGTCTGATAAGTTGTTGTTTAGAAGTTATGGTTCTCAGCTACGTGCCACTTATTCTTTGTATGTATAAATTCATATTGTGGCTTTTCTTCTTAAATAATACCCTTGTTTCTTTCCCCCCCCTCTTGTTTTAGTTTATGTCATTTTCAACCCATTTGATATATGTGAACAAGTTATTTTGAGGGTTAATAATAGTGGATTTGGTGAGTGCCTCAAAAATGGTGGCAAAAAGG